CAAAAGCAGTATACTTAACCTGCAGCTATGTAGGAGATTTTATAAATATAATTCCAAATAACAAAAGTTAGTAGACCATGTGACATAAAAAATATAGTACAAGCATTTATTAAGATCAGAAAGTAAAGAGAAAAATATTGACTAAAAAATCGCCAAAAATCTAAAATGTAGCAATTGAGAGGAGGAGTCGCTGAGACCTCGATGGCGAAATTGGTAAAGCACTTTTCTGGCAAAAAAGTCCTAGCTTCAAATCCTGGTCCAGCTAACACTTTATTTTAATTGCTACGTATGACGATTTTTCTACAAACTGTAGTTTTGACTAAAAAAAAAATCGAGTTACTTTGGCAATCTCGTACTGAATGGAGAATGTCGATAAATTTAATTACTCGTAAAAAAAAAAGTTCTTATACTTCCTATGAAAAAATCAAAGGCCAATGTTGTATATGTGGGAAAACCCAGCATATAACCACAGATTTTTAGTAAGGTCATTCATATTCACACAGGCAAGTAGAACAGTATACTTAAGCCAGATAGACGCAACTAAGCAGAGCCCAAGAAAAAGGACAACAAATAGGCAACATCAGGAGCAGCAGCCAAGGCAGAGGTTAAAAAAAATCGAGCAAAGATTTGAGCAAAGATAAACATTAAACGTCTACTGAAACTTTGTAAGTAATACGTAAAGAAAATCAGATGAGTTAGATTAAGTCAAATGGCAGCACAACAAGATAAGTTTCAGACAGCAGCCAAAGCCTTGGCAACCGTGCTACAATTTACTTTAGATTTTCATACTCGAATTTTTAAATACTGGAAAATGAGTGTTTTTCCCAGTACGCTTGATGTATTTTGGTTCAACTCAGACTCTTTAATTATACTCCACAGCTTTACTAAAAAATATAGGTTAAAAAGTCGTTAGAAAAACAAAAACGAGACATTTGTATTTCAAATCGCTCAAAGCAAGATTTTTTCTTATCGTTATGGTTTCTTATCAAATGGTTTTATCGTTAAGGTAGCTGCAAGACAAATTTTTTTTAGTATAATTATAATTTCCTAGTAAAAAACGTGCAACATTGGGAGTTCTCAGTAGCTATGGTGATAGAGCTCTTGCTACTTGCCTGGAGGGTTTGCGTTTAAGACTCCGTTTCATCACTTAATCCCGGCTAACTAGGTGGTATTTTCAATATGACTATTTGTAAAAGTTAACCTTTGCACTAATTTGTACATTCAAAAGATCTTACAATGAGAAAATTTAAGTAGAAATTTAGTGGAACCGTTATAAATCATCGTAGCTATGTTGTACATACTTCGTTTTTATCTAGTAATTTCTAATACCAGTGATATCTAACGTTATTAAGTTTTTCAAGTTAAACATTTAAAAATGGTATTTTCTCGAAAAATTATGATATCTCCTAAAAAATAACCCTTAACAAAACTAAAGCATTCGGTAAATTTGATGTCTCAAGTTCATGATTGGTAAAGAATTTCTAAACCTTCATACACACTGGCAACGCATAGTATTCTTCGTGATAAGTCTGTAGCCATGAAAAGTTCTAGAATCAAAATATTAAAAAAAAAAAGTTTTTTTTTCTTGTGCAGCATTTATTTTGTATGACATTCGTAGTATAACACTATTTAGTACTCGTCTTTTAGCAAAATCAAACTAGGTAATACTGACTTTTAACCGGTTATTCATACAAACCTGCCATCAGACACATTCATGTCTTGTATGTCGAAAGTATGTAAAAATGTTAGGGCAAAAATTAATATTACTCAGTTAGATTTGATTAAAGTACAAGTATTAAACAGTATTATACTACGAATGTCATACAAAAAATGTAAAAATAAAAATACTAAAAATGTATTATGCACAAAAAAAAAACTTTTCCATTTAAAAATTTTGATTTCAGAACTCTTCCAGGCTACAAATTCATTACAAGGAACAATATTCATTGCTAGTGTGTAGAAAAATTCAAAAGTCATTACAAAATATGAACTAACTACGTTAAACGTACATAAAATTTAATTTTTTTAAAAACTATTGGTCAGGGGATTTATATTTTCTTATCAATTAAAATGAATCTAAAGCAAAACTTAATTGTATTTCTTTGGTTAAAAATACTCAGAAAAATTAACTGAGTTTTTTAAAAATAGCTAAAATAAGCAAAATAGTATGAGTTAATTATTCTGATAATTCTGAGAAAATATATGATAAAGCTACTCAATAATTAGTAGCAACAGCTATAGTTAAAGTAGATTTATATCTCATAACGAATTTTTTCAAGGAAAACAATAAGACAGAAAAATTTGTAGATAGTGTAAGCAGTCGAAATACTTGCCATTTTCCATAAGAACTGTCCATTTAACGAAACAATTTTAATGCTGCGTATAAAAGTAAAAAAAATAACAGAAAAATAAAAATGGCATAGAGCGTTGGACTTTATTATTATTTAAAATTTAAGTAAATTAGTTTTAAAATGATAAGAGAAGTGCTTAAGAAGTATAAGAAGATATTTATGCTGATCTATCCATACGTATTTTTCTATATCTGGACAAACAAACATCCAAGCCATTTCAATACTTCTTTCCTGTGCACATACATGGGAAATATTAACAAGCTGGAGATTATGGTCATAAAAACATTTATGTAATGAGACCAGATTACTTTATCTACCTGTATACAAGCTATGAACCCACCAGTGAGCCATCTCCCCATGACTTTATAGGTCTTAAATATAAGTTACTTTTTCCACGAAGTCAGATGGAGGGTAGAGGGTTGCACCTGATTATGTCATATTGGGCTGTATCATTATTAAATATAGATATATTTAATTTCTCATACGTTCGTTACATATATTTTATAATTAATTTTTTTAAATGAACAAAATACTAATTGTTGTATACAAAATTCTGCAATAGGTTTGCTTTTTTTACTTATGCATCTTACGATTGTTGTGTTATTGATGCTTAGTATTGTAACACTTTAGCTAAGGATGGCAACTAACAAATGATTTAACTTTTATTTATTATTTCACTTTATTGTTTTCGAGAAGGGATTTGGTTGTTTCAGGTTTTGTGCAGCGCCAATTGCAGCAGCTCATAGTATCGTATAGCTATATTAATATTTATTAGCCTTTTTGATTTATTAATACGCACTCACTAATATCACGTACACTTAGTTACTATCACGTTGCAGCCACAGTTGACACTACACGAAACGGGTTAATATAACACAACAACATTTGTATGTTAACTATATATATATGTTCTTACTTAACTATCAGCCACTCAAATTGCAGTGCAGATCCAGCACACTACAAAACTGACGGTCCCAGCGTCATAGTTTGCTGTTTTATTTGTAATCCGTTATAACTTGGCATTTTTTTCACCTAGTAACTCGCCATAGGGGACTCAGGTTGACTCTAATATACTAAAATGCGGTAATAAGGGATGACTACTTCTACGCACAACAACACACAGCACCAACACTATATACGTTTACCCAGTGGGATATCTCCAGTGACGTTCTTGTTGATATTCTTGGTACTGATATTTGTGTCGAGGGCTCTGGAAAGCTTGGGTACCCGTGTATATGGACATGATGTTTGTATCACTAGAGTCTTGGCTGTAACGGTATCTCGACAGGCGAGAGTCTGCCACGGCCATGCCGTACTGCTCCAGTGCCAGCCTCACAACGAGTTCAAGTATCTGTTCTTGTCTTGCCACGCAGGCGCATCGTATGCTATGTGGCCCACGATGCACTACTAGCCAGCACATCACTAGGGGTTGACCAAAGAGATTATATAGGATAGATCGGGCACGCTTATGGAGGTGGCTGAATCCCACACTGAAAGAGACAGCAATAGGGTTGGAAGAGTATCTTTCTCTCTCTACGGAGACATGGAGAGGGAAAGTGATCAGGGGAAAGGTCAGAGAGGTAAAAGAAGGTACCTCCCCCTCCATATCTTTCTAGAGGGAGAAAGATACTCTTCTTACCCCATTGCTGTCTCTCTCAGTGTGCAATTCAGCCGCCTCCATAAGCGTGCTCGGTCTATCCTACATAACGTCTTTGGGGTTGGCTGCTATTACTATGCCTTATCTCAGTAGACTGACACACTGACTGTTGCCATTCACAAATTCATACTTCTAGTATTACACACACACACACACACACACATATTTCCAGGATGCAGGTGAGAAGCATGGCAAGGGAGTCAGATCGAGCCCTAAAGTTATACCTAATCCTATGCCCTTCAGGCCTCATACCAGGATTTCGTACCTATCAATCAGCCGTATGCAGGAGAGAGAACTGCCTATGAAATTTTCGCCAATTACTGTCAGTGGCAAAGGTTCTGTGACGCGTTGGAACGTATTTCCAATTCGCCAAGTTACAGTATGGTACATAACACATAAAAACACGTAGCACTTGTAATGCCTGCTGCAAAATTTGTGAAAGACTGGACTAGTTATTCCTCAACTGTTGAAAATGTACAATCCAATCGTTGAGTTAGTTTTTTTTTTATCATGCTAACATTAGGAATTTTTTAAAGTTCCTCTGAACAGTCAAAAATACTTATCTAAATTCGTTGAGGCGTGGTACTACCACACATCCAATCTATGTTAATACACATGGTATATTAGGCATTGAGTAGTCTATAAATTTTGACTTACAAATGTAACGTTAAAAAATTTTGAAAATTAAAGACGGGTGCAGATCACTTGCAGTAAAAAATATTGAAAAACGTAAACGCTTTCTCTCTAGTGATTGACAGGCAAAATACCGTTGTAAAACTGTTTAAAAGTAAGTATTTGTAAGTAGTATGTGAACTTTTTATTAAAATTGTGCTAATTTTAATAGCCTGTTACACATTAATACTTTTAACAATCTTTCCGTTCATATTTCAGATTGATTGGTTTAGTTGTTTTTGAGATTATCTCAAACATACAAATTTTTTATTTAATACTAACATGAATTCTCCAAATTCCGTAAAATGATATGCTTAGCCTTGTGTAAAAATAAGTGTATTATAAAAGTAGCTCCTTACCGTATTGATGGTTTTTGATGATTTAACAAAATAACTTATGTTTTATTCAATACAATCTCATACAATATATTGAAAAAGCTTAAGAAGTATTGTAGCACTTGAAAAAACTACTTATTAATTTTATTTGATAAGTAATTATTTTTTTAAATAAGTCAATAACAGTAAATAAAACACACTCTTTTTAAGTAATACTTTGTAGAACCTAATTAGCGTTATCTGCTTTTATTTTTTCAGCACCTAAAACTTATGATGTTCTCAACTCTCCAGGTGACAATTACCTACAAGCACTTTAATAAATAAAGTTACATTTATAAAGCTGCTACTAGATGTACTACTTTTTAAGGGCGAAGTACCTGAATAAAACTTAATGATTATTTGTGTGATCAGAAAATAATTCACAAGCCTTCTACGTGTATAGAGAGAGAACTGCATTATTTAGTTTTACTTCTCCTCTGTCCTCAACGCTAAAAATGATAAGTGATCGTTGTTCTTGTCTTTATCAACAAGCAATGACTATTACTTCTTAATTTAAAGAGTTTCTCATTATGCCAACTTAACCAACTCTTCTCAAATATTACAGCAGTACTCTTTCTCTCGTTATTTTTTTTACTATTATCTGTTTCTCATAATGATTTTTCTCTCCAACCCTCTCTCTTCCTCCCTTTGTCTTTCTGTCTATCGTTTTTTCTCTTTCTCTTTATGAATCTCTCACAAATATATGCAACTATACATAATTTACACATGTTTTTGATATACATAGCTGATTATCTTCGGACCAGCCGAGATCATAATACTTAAAAAAAAAGTAGTAAGGGAAAACGCATTCTCTGACACGTAGATAATTTTCTCAATCTCATTCAGGGTTCTATCCATAACACTCATACACATACTTTTACACTAATACAATATATTTAAATATTTTCTATTCTTTAAGTCTGTTTATTTTGTTGTTTTTAAGTACGTTAGTACTTTGCTAGTTTAATTGTATTGTATAATTTAATCACTTAAACAAGGCATATACTTATGAGAGTATGATCGGATGTATTACATACTACGCTTTGCATTCAACAAAACTACTTAATCAGCAGCCGAATTAGTATTTAGTTTATCCTCATGCTTCTTATCTGTGTAAGTATCTTTTTTGTGTAATATTACTGTATTTTTCATATTAGGGATGATCCTACTGATGGTATCAAGTCAATAAGAAAGATAATATTTTTGTTTTTGTTCCAAGTTTCATTCCACAACGTACAAAAAAAGGGAAGTTTCATGATTTCCTAAAAATCTGGGGTGAGAGAGCATTGAAGCTTTTAACAATTTCTATATAGAGAAGCTTTTGCTTGCGGGAATCGGTTCAAAATTTATATCCACAATTTCTTTTACTAATAAAATCTAACTTTTTCATACAATGATCTCTTACGAACAGCAATAGATTAAGGCTTATTTTTCTTTAGTAAAAAAAGTGAGATAAAAATATTGAGACCTTAAAGTTCTCTGATACTTTAAATAGATTTTGTTAAAAGTTCCACTTATCTCTTAGCATTTAAAGAAGACCACCGAACCCCCCTTGGATCGTTAATTATAAGTATACTAGTAAGGATGTAAGAAGTCTACATAATGGCAAGTAAAAGACATGTAATAAAGTGAATACTAGGGTAGATAAAGATAAACACACACACAAACACGCACGCACGTACACATGTACAAAAGCAGCACATCACTAGCACACGTGCTACCAGGTTTGCTACGCTTCCTTGTAAAGTTTGTTACAAATGACTGAAAGTCACATTCCAGCATCGCCTTGAACTTTATTAAGATGACTATTGGTCTCTAGCTCAATTGAAGGGCTATGTTGTTGTCTTGACGGCTCACTGAGTAGCCCTTCCTCATCTTCCTCCGGTGTTACCTAAAATTAGAAAAAATACGTGTTATTTATATACCATGCGTTCTTACAATTATGCAACTTATGTATTTTAAAGCACGATTGTGTTAACAGTAAAAAAATTTTCTAGTGTCAATTGCTACAAGCACTTTCATTTTTAATCTCCGAAAGATACTTGTGAATAAGTGGCAAACTAGAGGAAGAAGCATCACTATTTACTTAAAAATGATAGTGATACTGTAGGAAGTATTAAATGTTACGCATAAGTGCTGGCATACGCACAATTCAAAAAATATATTAAAGTGTGCTCACAAACAAGCAGCCCAAATTTTCTAGACTCTATATATACATATATATATATAAAGTTGATAAGACTTTTATAGTTATCTCACCCCAACTCAGTATTGCCTCACAACTATAGATGTTATTAGGGCACACAAAATAAATACAAAGATATTCATTTGTAAGAAAATATCAGGTTTCTTTAAGTAAGATTCTCAAAAAGACTCTAGCCCTCAAGAGATTCTGAATATATGAAACAAAAACTTGTTTTTTTTTTTTTGTACACCTTGAGTAATATCTACTAATCTTAAACATTTTTATGTCTATTATGCTAAACCAGCCCATTCGGCTGAGAAAGAGTAACTATTTACTTTTCCAAGTTTTCTAGGATTCCTATAAGTATCCTCAACTATAAAGATAAACAATGCTACTATTACTCTGAAGAGTCTTATTTAAACTTCTTGATTAGTCTCAAATTTTCGAGTTTCCTAACATGCTTGCTAGTGTCATTTTGGCTACTTTGGATAACTTTGGAACCTCTGAATATCTCTGCGTTAACATTAAGGACCCTAAGGCTGGCTTGTTCATTTCAGCCTTTTTTTTCGAGAGGGAGTTTGAAGATGACGTCAAAGGTAAGATGGCTTATGTGTAGGCTATACATGGAGGAGGAAGATAAAAGGCGGTCATGAAGATGCGCATGTGTTATTGTATTGTACTGTGCGTGATTCTGCTGTGAAACATAAGAGTGGTGGGTATGAATAGGTGTCAAGAGCGTAAAGATACAGAGAGAAAAAGAGAAAGAGAGACAGAGTATAGAGAGTCGTGTATGAGGTGCAAATGAGGTTGTCTGAGAGCAAGGCGTTTCAATTAGGAAAGAGAGAGCTTGGTGGGTACAAACACTGGAATCCTAGGCACGCTCATGTATTCGTGATGATTGGAAGCCGGTACACTGTGCCTCTTAGTTGTATTATAGTGTAGTAAGAATTCGAAAAGTAGTGTTGTCTAAATCTTGGCAGTTGGTAAAAGGGCGTCTGTGTTTGTTGTGGCAATATGGCGTAGAATGTGTGCGTTGGTTTGCAGAGTTATCTGAGTCTCAGAAGATCGGCGAGCATGAAAGACAGTCTACTGTAAGGGTGTGTGTATTTGTGTGTCTGTTTATGTGTGTGTACAATGAGTTCATACTAGAAGAAGAGGAAATTATCTGTGATTTTTATGTTATCTAAATTAATAAACGAGTGTTTTGAAAGTTAATAAAGTGTTTTATGTATTTTATTACACGATTTTAATGCGTGTGACCAAGCCATTTCCCACTCAAAATGTCTACTCTATAACGGGCCGTTCAAGGTAGGACCCAGGGTTCTATATCAGACTTGTTCTGTTTGGAAAAGGTCCATTCAGACTTTCTTATTGATCTGCATGAGCTCTGCAAAATATATCTATGGTCTAGTTAAATAAGATTTATTGAGACCTATGAATTGGTCTAGATAAAGCCTGAAAAATACTTGTCCCTTCGGGCTATTTATATATGGACATTGTAATAGGTTTGCATGAATTCGCTTTATTCTCGTGCACTATTTATGGAGATTGTTGTTTTAAAACAAGTATTTTAAGGAAAAAAGTTTTCAAAGTGCATAAGCTCTTACCTTTTAGGCATGGATTTGTACTCAAGGAAGGTAAAAATGTTTCTTGTGCTCAAGTAATGTGTAGACAAATTATCAGCCTTAGGCAAGTGTTAATGAGCTAAACAAAAGATCTTTACAAATTTTATCTTCATATCAGTTACTGATGATTACAAATCACTGTTTTTTGTATTTCAGTCTTCAAAGGACTAAGGCACCTCAGATACACAATAAGTGGCATAGATACACTTAAGTCTATGTTGATAATGCAACAACAACCAAATGAAATAATAGAAAGAGTAAGTGGTGAACGTACTCCTAAGAGACGAAGGAACAATTCATCATTAACTATATTACCTAGCACTGTAGATATAGCATGTTTAATACTTCTTCCACAACAAAACTACATAATATAAAGTACTGCTAGCTCACTAAACTTACATAAACTGCTACACAGAAATAATTTGTGTATATAATATTTAGACTTAATCATGTTAATGTGGAGTATGACTATTTATTTATAATTAAATTACATAATTCAATATTCCGCTGTCCCTCTGACTGACCGTCCGAGGGATAGCGAAGTATTTAATTATGTAATATAATTATGAATAAATAGTGATGCTCAATATTACCAAGATTAGGTATTAATATTTTTTTAAGACAAAAAAGAAAGTGAAGGAAGTTTACAGATATGTATAAATTGCTATTTATGTCCAGTCACTTTGGGTTCAAAAACTCTTCCATGACTTTTTGTTTGTCAATTATTATAAATATATAAAAGTACCACAAATTTTTTTCTATATATAATGTGAAAAAATTATATAGCAACTAAATACTTAAGGCATAAAAATTTTAAACTTACTAATGTAAAATATGAAAGACCAGAGTTACTGCAAATTTTGCATGTGTGTATAAGCTGAATTTCGTAGTAAAGCATCAATAGTTTTCAATCTGATGAATACTCAATTAAGCTTAGATACTCCAAATACAAGTGGTTTGATAAAGAGAATAAGAAAATATAAGGTTATGATTGTTATCAAAATATCTTAAAGATAAGAAAATAGTGCAAAAATTGACAAATGCACAGTCACACGTTGCCATTAAAAATATGTTACTTAATGTTACTTGCACATATCATGACAGAGATACGTTGTTAAAAAATTAACAAAATAAATAATTACTAACCACGTCATATAACCTTCAGAATTCAAACCCTCCCACCCCATTTATAATATCGAAGCTAGAAAACTCACTTTATGTAATTGATATTTTAAGGTTCCTCTCTAATGCATAAATCTGCATATATCATCAAAAAATAAGTTCTACAAAATTGAATTATCTAAAAAAAAGAGACATGTACCGATCTTTTGTATGCCACTGTTTACTCGCAGATAGCGATCAAAGTTGAAAAACAATATTATCTACAAGTTAAAAATTTAAGAAAGTATTGCTACAACTCATATAATTAAGTGTAAAAAGTTTCCAGACAATCGCTTTTTAATTTTTTAAGTTTTAAGTGACCAAATTTTGTTTGGAAGCTTAATGCATAATACATAAAAGCTTCTGCTATCGTCTTTTTCATATCCTTCTAATCTTAAAAATTTAAGAAACTACAACATCGGTTTGAAATGTTTAAAAAATGTGAATTTAATTTAACATATTTATAATTACTTGTTTAACAATCCTAGTTTCCCACACACCAATATATTTCTTTGTAGATATTTTTTTCAGAATAAAGCTTCCCCTTTTTTTAGAGCTAAGAAGCTGCTTTTTTGACAAGTTAAGGAAGAAAAAATATTCAAACATACTTAGAAGCAAAGATAATTTTTCGTTTTAACAATTCACACATGCTTTTTTGTAAACCGATTAGGCTGTAATTTACACATGTGGCCACTAAAATCGATGAGTTTTAATAAAAAATAATTCGGCATTATTTTTTAGCCCTCATTTAAGTATTATTTAAATTTTGTAAGAATGTTGTTGATTTAAAGCATTCTGGCTGTGAGCGATGTACTAGTGCGGCAGCTCAAAGAGCATGACACCATAGGAACTGAACTAGTCCGGGCACCTTGGGTGTTGCCGTGGCCTTTTAATATTAACAGCTCCACCAAGTTTTTTTCATGTAGTTTTATTTCCTGAATTGGAATTTTCAGGGTGGAACCTCGAAAAATCATGCAAAACGGTACATTATATCACTAAGGCACAAAGTGCAAACATGAGCGCCTCAAGGGTACGGTTATTGTATATTGCTACCCTAGTCATGTATAATTTTTTTTACTGTAGGTGCAAAGTACAATTTTGTGCTCGTGGTCACACTTTGCGCCCAGTAAATTAGTCTGGGCCCTGAGGCTAAGAACTACTTTGATACTGGAGGGCGTTACTGATTACCAAGTTATACCATGTGGGCCAGGTATTGTAATAGATTATCTTTGTAAAAGAAAAATTTATTATAAGAATATTCATAAATAAATTTATAAATGACTCTTCTGAACGAAAATTTGTTCTTCATTCTTTAGCATGTTTTCAACAAAAAACTTCTTAGGATGTACGTACAAAAATCCCACAATTTTCAAGTAAAAAATTTTCAAAGTTCTGATAATGTATTTCTTATAATTTCTAGAGCCTTGGCAAAGTATGAAAACGAAAATGTTTACAAGGCTCACCGAATCATCATTAATTGTTAACTCTTACCTAGAATGTTAAAAAAAAATTCCGATAACATTAAAATAGCATTGGTTTTGTAGTTAATATTTTTAGCATTATAGTGTACGCGCACGTAGTAAAGTATACCTATGTGCTTTAGTGTGTCGTACACATAAATAAATATACGTTTGCACTAAGTCTTTTAAAAGAAGATCATTTTTTTTACTTTAAGAATTTCTTACTTGAAAACCGTGGGTTAAAGTGTATACATTTAAATTTTTTTTCTGTTCATAGTACACCAGAGAATAGAGAAAAAAATTAATTTGCTTACAAAAGTTGTTATTAAAATTATTTTGTTTATTATTTTAAGGTTCCACCTTCAAAATTATAATTCAGGAGATAAAACTGCATTTAAAAAACTTTAGTTGAGTCATAGACCTTAAAAAGCTACAAGAACCTCTCTGGTAACTAGACTAA